CGGTGGGAAGATTACTTTGGCCTAGGAGTTCAAGACCAGCCTTGGCAATGTAGTGAGACGCTATTTCTACAAAAAATTTAAAATTAGCAAGACATGGTAGTGTGCACCTGTAGTCCCAGCTACCTGGGGAGCTGAGGTAGGGATACCCTTGAGCCCAGGAAGTCAAGGCTGCAGTGAGCTGTGATCACACCAAAGCACTTCGGTCTAGGTGACAGAGTGAAATTCTGTCTCCAAGATAAATAAGTAAAAATTTAAAAATTGAAATTGACAAGTTGGGAAACTCACCAAGTGGTATACAGCTTTTCACATGTCAATCATACTTCAATAAAGTGGTTTAAAAAGAAGAAATTGACAAGCTGATTCCAAAATTTGTATGACAATGTAGATCTAAATATTTAAAGTAGTGCTGGCTGGGCGGCGCGGTGGCTCATGCCTGTAATCCCAGCATCATGGGAGGCCAAGGGGGGTGGATCACAAGATCAGGAGATCAAGGCCATCCTGGCCAACATGGTGAAACCCTGTCTCTACTAAAAATACAAAAATTAGCTGGTCATGGTGGCACGTGCCTGTAATCCCAGCTACTCGGGAGCCTGAGGCAGGAGAATTGCTTGAACCTGGGAGGTGGAGGTTGCGATGAGCCAAGATCACACTGCTGCACTCCAGCCTGGCGATAGAGCAAGACTCTGTCTCAAAAATATATATATATAAAAAAATAAAGTAGTGCTTTCCTATAGAATTTTCTGTGTTGATGAAAATATTCTGTAGCTGTACCGTTCAGTATGATAGCTAGCCAAATATGACTTAAAAAGTGGCTAGAGCAACAGGAACTGTTCAGGAATTTTTAGTTTAATTTAAATGTAAAAACTCTCATGTGGCTAGTGGCTATTGTGTTGAACAGTACAGAAAGTAACCCTGAAAATGAAAGGGGTTCATACTACATTATGTTGAAACTTAGTATAAAGCTACAATAATTAAGACAGTGTGCTACTGACATGAGAAAGACAGATGAGTAGAACAGAATGAGAGCTTAGAAATCAATCTACACTTAATGTGATTTATAGATTTTTGACAAAGATGGTAAAGCAATCCAACACCGCAAGAAATTTTTTAAACTAGTGGTGCTGAAGCAACTCGGTATCCATATGGAAAAAAATGAACCTCCAACTCTATTTCATACGATACACAAAAATTAATTCAAAATGGACCATAGACCTAAATGTAAATGAAACAAGTGAAAAGCTTCCAAAAGAAAACGGGGTAGTTGCAGCAGATTTCTTAGAGGGGCAATAAAAGGTAATAACCATGAAAAAATAAGTTGATAAATTAGAATTAATTAAAATTTAATCTCATCAGGCTGGGCATGGTGGCTCACGCCTGTAATCCCAGCACTTTGGGAGGCCAAGGTGGTCAGATCGCTTGAGATCAGGAGTTCAAGACCAGCCTGGCCAACATGGTGAAACCCCATCTCTATTAAAAATACAAAAATTTGCCAGGCGTGGTGGCAGGCGCCTGTAATCCCAGCTACTCAGGAGGCTGATGCAGGAGAATTACTTGAACCCGGTAGGCAGAGGCTGCAGTGGACCAAGATTGCACCACTGCACTCCAGCCTGGGTGACAGAGGGAGACTCTTGTCTCAAAAATAAAAAATAAAAATAAAAGAAGTAAAAATTCTTATCAAAGGCAAGACTGAGAAAATGCAAAGGCAGGCCACAGACTTCAAGAAAATCATATATCTGATGAGAGTTGATTGTTAGCATATAAAAAGATCTCCTACAACTTACTGATTTAAAAAGACAACCCAGTTTGGAAGTGGTCAAAAGATTTGAATAGATTCTTCACAAAGAAGATATACCAATGCCCAATAACACAATATTAGTCATCTGGGAAATGCAAATTAAAACCGAAATGAGATACCACTACACATCTTCCAGCGTGGCTGAAAAGATTGACAGTCCTGAATGAGGTCTATAATTGGACAGTTGGGTGGAAAAACTGAAACTGTCACACTTTGTTGGAAGTATAAAATTGTACATCCATTTTAGGAAAAGATTTGTCAGTTTCTTACACAGCTGAACTTATGACCACCATATGACCCAGCAATTCCACTCTTAGGTAGTTACCCAAAAGAGGTGAAAACATATCCGCAAAACTATTTGTACAAGAATATTCATAGATTCTATCTAACTGTCATGTAAACAAACTCATATAATCAGAAAGTGGAATTAATGTGATTTACTGGCTCAATTTTCCTGGGTCTGAGTTTTCCAGGATGTGGGACTTCAGGTGCTAAAACCAGAAAACCCCTAAGCAAATCAGGAAGACTTGGTCACTGTCATTATCCTCTCAGCAATAAAAACAACTAACTCCTGATAGATACATCCAAAAACAAGGATGAACCTCAAAAACATTCTGCAGAGTGAATGAAACATACAAGAGTTCATATTCTATGATGCCACTTACATGAACTTCTAGAGCAGGTAGAACTAAATTGTAAAAAACAAAGCAGGGGAGCATTTGTGTTTTGGGTTTGGTTGATGGGGAAGGGGTGTGAGGGAACTTTCCGGAATGATGATGTTCTATATTTTGGTGGAGATTTGGGTTACACAGGTGTATACATTTGTCAAACTCAATGACTAGTAAGTTAAGGTTTCTGCATATCTGCATTCTCAAAGTATCTGTAAACACTATTGAACTGCAATGTTTTGGATACTGAGGTGTTTAGGAGTTAGGTATAACTCTTTTTCACTTATCAAGTGTGGAATTTCTTTAAAAGTAGTATGTAAGTGTCAGAGACAGGGAAAGGAAAATCATTCCTTGAGAATTTCTCCTGAGTTGAATTGTTTGTTCTGACTCTATTTTAGGAAGGTTTTCTTCAACTTTTGATAACACTTTCCATGTCACTGGATCCTTATTTTTCATTTTGTAATCCTGTATTTTGCAGGGGTGAATCTTTTGTTTTCCAAATGAGTGGGTGTCTTTCGTTGTTTTATGTTTGTAATTTGACTAGAGGTTGTTTGGTTTGTTGTATTAATTACTTCCACATTGATTCTTTGCTCTTTTCTCACAATCTTTTTTTAAAAGCTTCCATCGTATTTACAGATTTAAACAGAGTTTCTCTGTATTATAGCCTGTTTCTGACATTTGTCTTATTTCCCAAAGCAGTGTATATAAACTTTTGCAGTTATTTTTGAGGATGGTAATTCTTACAGCATTCTGTTTTCTGGTTCTTGTTTCCTTACTTTTCTTTAATAATACATTACTTCTAAAATTGGATCTGGAGTGGTTTTAGATTAACTTTTTTATTAACAATTTTTTTTTGGATTCACAAAAATAAAATAGCATATTGTAGAAAATTTTAGCCTAATTTTTAAGTTTTGCCAGTTTTATTTTCACACATACTTTTTGTGATGGTAGTGTGTTAGCTCAGAGAAGGTACTCTGTTACTATCCCAACATCTTTCAGGGTATCTTTTATGGTTTTGTTCTTTCTTTTCATATACCTCTAAAATGAGTTGTTCTGAGAAAGTCAGTTATAATAATAGTTCTCAACCCCACAAGAGCCCTGCAAGACCCAGTGCAGTTCTAATGAAAACATTTTTAATTACCTGTTTCTATCCTGAAATTAATGGCTTTTTAACCTACCTACACACATAAAATTCAGTGTAATTGCCTTAATTGTAACATAATGAGGAAATAAAAGGAGAGTAATTAATAAATATTTTGATACATTACTTTTGGAGCATGATGTAATAGATGTTTGTATTTAGACACAGAAACCATGAATGGGGCAGCTATAAATGCAAACTGTTACGGTGTGTTGCATTGGTCACTTGTATACCACAAGCAATATTGCTGTCAATGTCATGATTTTCTGAAATATTTGAACAACTGATAAACTTCTGAAGAAAACAAAGTACAAATTTCCTTCAATTTACACATTCTATGTGTTTCTGGAAATTTGGGCATCTATTTAAACTATGCAAACATGTACTTCGTTTATATTCAAAACAGAATTAGGTTCTGACTCAGATCATTATAAAGAGGTGTTTCATCTTCATGAATGTCCGGGAGGACATTAGAAAGTTATCAAGGCCAGAGCACAGTTATCTTAGGTGGAGGATTCTCCTGTGACTTGCAAGTCATCTAGCGTCCCTGGACCTTGTGCACTAAGTGCCATAATTGCCCCTTCTTAATCATTGTGACAACCAAACACAAACTTCCAAAACACAATATTGGGTGTTTCTGTGCAATGGAACTCTTTGGCAAGGATGTCACAGTAATTTTTTTAATGCATAAAATAAAATACACAGGATTGCAAAGAAAATGGATTTATGGAAATACAGACCCCAGGTTAAGAATCTCTGCAAGAGGTGACTACCACACCCTTCTCCAATATACACACTCCAGTTGAGAACCACTAAGTTGGAAGAGCTTTTTATGTTGAGGGAAATGCTGAAAGCCATAGTCTTAAAATTTTAAGGATTTGAAAGTACATATGGGTGCCCAGAACATTTGCCATCAACACTGTCATCAATAGGGGACTAACAACCACTCTCTAATAGAATCTAAAAGAATGAAAGCAAATAGCATAGGAACTCTATTTCTATTCTAATTTTGTATCCGAAATTAAGTGTATCAAATGGACTAATGCTTCTGTTTTCCATTCTTTTCTCATGACGACTAAACTACCTCTTTGATTAACATCAATTAAAGTTCAGATCTTTTGCCAACTTGTTTATTCACATATTAAAAGACAACCTTGGCAGAACAAAATCTTTCTCCAGCTGCTATTTGGCAAGTTGGCAAAAAACGTCCACATATTAAACACAAGCAGTTCTAGGAATAGAAATTGAAAAGCAAAATAATCAAGAGTTTATTTCAACAGGTGCTCACTTAATGCTTTCTAGGAGTACATTGCAAGAGGTGACCATATTGTATGTACATGAATAGCTTGTCATGACAAATGTGTAGAATACTAAAGATGATTTTTATTTGTTTTAGGGTATGTCTCTGTGCCAGACTGTCGTCGTGGGCTCTGTAGTCATTCTTCTGTACTCTTCCAGAGCTTGTTATAATTTGGTGGTGGTCACCATATCTCAGGATACATTAGAAAGTCCATTTAATTATGGCTGGGATAATCTTTCAGATAAGGTAAATACCTACCACATATTCCCAGTCTAACAATGTGATAATTAACTTACCCTCATCTAGGAGAATACTATAGTGTTTGACTTACAAACACATTTATGGAATCTCTGTTTACTGTCAGTAATCATACTTAAAGCTTTGTGTTTAAAAATCGTTATATATGTGTGACATTTGAAATCGTTCTTCACAGAGAACTTCTACCAAAGGAGTATTTTCTCTCTCCTTTTTGGTAAATAATAATAGTGCCACAAGCCTCTTGGTCGTATGCTAATTTTACTTATTTTTGTTAATGATGGTATTTAAATATTTCTAGATAAATGAATTGGCTATTATGAGCCAATTTTCCTCCTCTTTATTAGGAGGAAAGTAACTCTCCCCTACCCAAGAATTACATATACTCTTACTATTTGGTTCAGGTTTAGATGTTTAAATAATGGCTTTCATAAAAATCTGGCTTTGTCAGCCTTGATAATGGGAGAGCATTCGTAGTTCCTTGGGTGTCCAGGTATTTGCTATCATAATTCCCAGTACTCTCTGCATATTTAACTTTCTGGCATTCCCATATGCTTCCTAAATGTACATTTTGACATAGCTATGTGTCATATCTTAATAGTAATTTAGCTTTGTACTGAATTTTAGGGACCTTGGAATACTGTTTTTCATTTACCTTTCTAAAGTGAAGGAATTTTCACATGTGGTTCCCTGTGGCAGATTCTCTTCACTCTTTTTTCCATTTCCCTCTCCCAACATCTGATAGAACAGAAACAAATTTAATATGTAGATTAGGTCCAAAAGCATATTTTAAGTAGAGCTGAGCTGAGTGACTTAACATGTTACATTTTTCTACAGGTGTAATTCAGGGTAAGTGCTGTTATTTTGCCTATGGAGCAGCTGGAACAGTAATGTCTTTAAAAGTCACTCTCTTCAGATTATGGGGCCTAAATATGAGATCACTCCTTATTATCCATATATTAAAATGGTCATAAACTGATACATTTTTAAAATTAACTGCTTTTTATTCTAACTTCAAAGCATTTTATGTCCTTTAAAGGATAAGTGTCATTACATGAGAAACCACAAAATATAGAAAGTTTTAAAGTTTATGTGCCTGTAGTTAATATATTTTATCTTACCTGATTTGAAACAAGTTAACTGTGGAGGTGATTGCTTATACATTAAACAGATGTAAAAATTCTCTGCCATACTCTGTTTACAGGCTCATGTAGAAGACATAAGTGGAGAAGAGTATATAGTATTTGGAATGGTCCTCTTTTTGTGGGAACACGTGCCAGCATGGTCGGTGGTACTGTTTTTCCGGGCACAGAGATTAAACCAGAATTTGGTATGATATCATAATATTCTCCAATGCTTGTTCTCTTATTTTTAAAAATTATGGAACATTTGTATTGATTTTCTATTTTTGGCAAAGGTTAAAACTAAAAATTATTGTAGTTTCTAGCCTCCTTTCTTAGTGGAAAAGTAAAACCTTCATATGCTATCTAATACTTTGTTCACAGGCACCTGCTGGCATGATAAATAGTCACAGTTACAGTTCCAGAGCTTACTTTTTCGACAATCCAAGACGATATGATAGTGATGATGACCTGCCAAGACTGGGAAGTTCAAGAGAAGGAAGGTAGATGTAACAAAGCCACTTAGCCTGAATTACTATTGAAATTGATTGAAAAAAAAAATCTAAGCTTTAACCAAAATATGAAAAAAGGTGATTTGGTAGTAATATGTCAATAAATAAGATCGGCAATACTGGAGTTTAAAGCAGATGTTAAACCCAGGGTGGGACCTGCATTATCAGGAACTACCATCTGACTAAAGCGTATATGCCTTTGGGCTTAAATGGTACCATTTCATTTCAGGATCACTTGCTGGTTCAGAGCTGTTTGTGGGAGGGGGATGCACAAGGAAGAAATGCCATTATAGTGATTATGTATCTGTTTCTATATCTCTAGTGCTGGTCAAAATTCAGAGAAACCCTAGATAAAACTCTGGGGAAGCTTAACTGCCATAGGAAATCTTCCCATGCCCTCCTTGTTTCAAAACCATTTCAAGTCCTTAACTAGTACACTATTAGCTGTGATTTGGGCAAGGAGAAAAGCTTAATGGCTGAAGCCATCAAGCATAATGGCTTCAGCTTGATATGACATTTTCTGTAATCCTAACTTCATCAGGACAAGTTACATAATCTGTTTTTTGAAACTGTTTTTCATCTGTAAGATAGGGATAATAGAACCTATCTCAGAGGTTTGTTGTGAGGGTTAAATGTATATGTGCGTCTGCATACATACATACATACACAGATGTCTTAGAATAGAACCTAGTACAAAAGGACTACATTGTTATCAGCTGATGATCAAGTTCTACCAGTTCCGAGTGGCATTTATTCATTCTTTTGTAACATAATGCGATATAGAATCCAGGATATTAGATAAAAGTCAATAAATTTGTGGAAAGGCATTATGTTATTTGACAAAGAACATATTTCAATATATTTGATTGCTTTTATTACAAAATTCATTGAAAATGCTAAAAATTCAAATGTGACTTCTTATATCCTGATCATAGTCCTATGGCTTCTTTGCCTTTCTTTGTTGCAGTTTACCAAATTCGCAAAGTTTGGGCTGGTATGGCACCATGACTGGGTGTGGCAGCAGCAGTTACACAGTCACTCCCCACCTGAACGGACCTATGACAGATACTGCTCCTTTGCTCTTTACTTGTAGTAATTTAGATTTGAACAATCATCATAGCTTATATGTGACACCACAAAACTGACAGCATCACCAAGTCATGATTCTTGAGTTGTTTTTCATAAATGTGTATATTCGATGTGTTTAAATTCCATCTACATAAACATTCCATTATCTGTTGCAACTGAAAACAAAATCTGGAAGTGTGGCTGTGTTTGGTAAAGAACACAGCTATTATTTTTGACCTTTTCATAGTAAAATGAAGTAAAATGGAAAGTTTGGAGTAGGAGAAAAGAGAGATTAGATCTTAAGGCACTTGATGGCCTCCAAAAATCCTGACTTTGGAACATCAAATGCATGTGTGCACTTTTATCTTTGTTCTGAAAGAGTCACTGCAGTCCCCAAAGTCATATGCCAATGTTCACACTGGAATACTATATTGTACACCGAACTGGAAGGCAATTTTCCTATGAAAATCAAAGCCTGTATATTCATTGGTATGCTCTATATGGAAATCTTAATAAAAATTTTATAGTGTGAACAGTGCGGAGTTAAGGCATAAAAATGTTTCACTCTTTATAAAAATCTACTGAAAATGTGTAATCATTGAAGACAGTTCTTTTAAGCATGATTTTAAAATAGCGACTGAAATTCAATCATTTTAAACAAATGATAGTAGTAATCCATTAGTTATGGCCAGCAGTGTTCTTTGGAGGCCACAATAATTTCAAGAGGAAAATATACCAGTGAAAATGGTGTGGCTATTTTGAGTAGAATTGGTCAGTTGATTATTTTGTATAATTGAGATATATGTGGTAGTTTAAGCATGATTCTTCAAGAAAGCAATAGTGACTTTTGCATAGGGAGATTCTGGTAGAAACTTCTTGGGACTAAACAAGTTTAGAGATGCATTTAAGAATTATTCACAAAATGTATAATTCTAAATTAAAACAAATATATTTTCAAAAGCATTTGATTTCTCTGAAGCATGATATAGCAGTGAATCAGGATTGTCCTCAGGTAAATGAAATCATGATACATTATTGCAGTGAACTCAAGTGCAATACTTTGTGAGACATATAATTCCTCCTATGATTTTCACATTTGTATATCTTGTATATGGGAAAAGCCAAATTAAATTGAATTCAAATTAATTCCAGCATTAGACTAAATGAGCAAATTTAAGTAAATGTACAAACTAGGTAAGTATAAAACCACAGGTTAACAATATTGGAGTACTTTTAGAATTACATTAAAACTGTCTTAAATGTCCTATCCCAAATCTTAAAAAAAAAGAAAATGGTAGGCTAAGATAGTACAGAATTTTAAAATGCACTTTGTACCAGTGTCTATATGGAAAGAAGTAGATGCTGAATACCTCAAGATGCCAAGGGAACAAGCAACATTGGGAAGTTGTCACAACATGCTCAAAGACTAACTACAATTGTCTGCTATCTATTTCTTCAGAACTGAAACTAATACGAGTATCCTTTTCTGTTTTATACTTTGATTAGAATGTTATTTCCTCTCTTACTTAAAATGTATTTCAACTTTTTAACAACTGATACAATAACTTCACAAAAGTAAAACACTAGGTTGAAACCCTAACGAAAAACTGAAATTGTTAATGCTTTCCATCTTTTGGGAGGCAAGTACAGAGACAAATAAATTTCTTCTTTTTATGATACAAAATGACTTTGTATTCAATCAGAAGCATATACTTACTTACATTATTTTGGGTTTGTTTGTAAGTTCTCTCATTGTAACCAAGTTATTTAAAATTGTATAATATAAAAAGTTAACCGTGGTATTGACAAAAGCATATTTTTATTACAACTTCAGTTGTTAGATTTCTTCTCAGAATGCCAACTGTTTATTTTGCTAATAATGTTAGGTATCTAACATTAGATAGAGCTGTCTGAAAAGGTACATTGTCTTCGTTAATCCTTGGGGTTCAAGGTGATGAAGTTTTTCTGGTAAGGTTCCCCTTGATAATGTTCCTATTTAACCAAACTAAAAAAGATTACTTTTTTAAAATTTCTCAGAAAAGATAACTTGGTTCTTTCTGCTGCATTAGTTGATTGTTCCAAATTTGAGATTTGTAAGTTTATTCTTATCACTGACTAGGGTACCCAAATTCTTGCAGTTGTCTCCTTATACACATCTAACACATCACCAAAGACAAATAAAGATACACTCTGGCCCAATCTTTGCTTAAAAATTCCAAAGCACTAGGAGCACTTTAAGTTTGGTCTCGAAAGTTGTTTATAAAATCAAAGGGCTACCGATTCCCTGTTCATCCTGCACTGAAGCACATGATGACAGTATCAAACCTTCATTTTTGTTCATTAAAAAGTGAATTTCATTACTTACGTGTGTAATTCTATAGTGATTAGCAGTATTTGTTTTCATCATTTCACTTGGGTGGCCATTAATTTTGAAACTTTTACCACTCATTGTAGTTGGTTATAGTTTTATGGAAAATAATTTATAGCTAAAGTGGCTTTTTTATGCATAGCTGCCTTTTTTATTGTTTAACAGTGTTTCTCAGCTATATAATCAGTTTCAAACTGGTTGTAAAAGTATAGCTGTGGCCAATGAATGTATTTATTTGTTGTTTCACTAAATTGTAACAAAACACTACTATTGAAAATAAAAGTGTTTGTGCTTTTATTTAGAGGTCTGGTTTTCTTCATCTCTTATAATGGACTAAGTTTCTATCATATAAGGATAAAAACATAGTGCTACCACAAAAAAAAAAAAAGAAAAAAATCAGGAGTTACAAATGATAGTTTGCCTTTAGTGATCGCATAATTTGTCGTATCACTTAATATACACCAGTTTGACATGAAGTGCCATGCAGTTTAAAATGCCAATACATTATTAGATAGTACATTTTTATTCAAACATTAAGCTAAGAAAAATTGTTGTATGAAATAATTTGTAACACCTCTCCCCGTCCCTTTAGAATCTTAAACAGGAATCCATTTATCTACCTTATAATCCTAGGAAGGTATTCTTTGATTATTCAAGAAATTCTTCAATGATGCTTAACACAATTTGCTCATGAAAGAAGTTCCTTTTCTTCCCAGAATAGACCCTTTTCATGACCCACCAAAAACCATACCAAATCTTGAATACAATTTCAGCTTTATTGACCCCCTGAAGTCTACAAATCCTTGGGACTCTACTGACCCTTGCTGTAAAGTGAAGGGAGTGAAACTATTTGGAATAAAGGTAGGACCTCTAATATAATAAAGATGTCACTTTAAAATCAATTTATTCAACAAACATTTATTAAACGTTCATATGCCAAAAACTATGCTATGGAGATGCAAAAAATAAAAAGGTTCCTTTTCCTGCCCTTAAGGAGCTCACATTCTAGTGAAGAAGACTTTTGAAAATTAAAACAATACAGTACAATTTAAGTGACATACAATAGAGGTAGGTTGTAATTACAGTGGTGACACAGAAGTAGAAGTTAGATGACTCTCCTTGAGTGGAGCAAGGGAGATTTTACAGAGGAAATGCTTATGTCAGGCCTGCAAGATGCATAGGAATTTTCCAAGTTGGGGAAGGATGACCAGCGCACTTGATGCAAAGAGTACAGCATTTACCAAGGCGGGAAACCTGGCCATACAGGGCTTTTGAAGAACTGTTAAGTCTGTTTCACCAGAACATTCGGTGGAGGAAACACATTACACATCAGAAGACCTTATACACCAACCAGAGGGGTCTGGCTTTCTCCTGAAAGTTCCTGAAGTCATGGAAGGGTATTAGGGAGTAATGCTGTCAGAGTGCTTCTAGAAAGCCTACTCTGGTAACATTGAGCAACAAATAGGAGACCAGCTAGGTGTAGGAGGCAGGTTAGTACTGTAGGTATTAATAATATCAATGAAGATGAAAGAGTGATGTATCAGAGAGGTGGAGATAAAATCAGTAAAACTTAAACACTAAATGATAGGGGAAGGTGGAGAAGAGGAATGAGCCTAGAAAACATAGAATATAATGGTTCTAAAATTAACCAAAGTAAGGAACACAGGCATTAGAGTAGGTTTTGCAGACAATGAATGTTTTAAGACACACACAGGTGTGTGTGGGACAACCAAGTAAAGTGCAGCAGGCAGATGGATTGAGGAGTTTGGCTAAAGATAAGGATTTAGGAATTGCTGAACTGAAATGACCCAAGCGTGAGAAGTGGTGTTATGATTAAGAGGAAAAAAAAATGGAGGCCTGAGGAATAACATTAAAGGAATAAATGAAGAAGCTAAAAAGGGGGGGTTCAGGAGTGAGCAAAATGTAAGAAATCAAGGGAATAAATCTTTCAAGTACAGGTTGTCAAAAATGTCAAATAAGTAATAGCTTGTGAATTAAACTGTGGATTTAGAATTGATTTTAGACTTCACAGGAAGGGACTGTTAACTATACAGCCAAACGGCAGATTTCAGTTGCGGAGCCAGTGGAAGGTGACAAAGTAGAGGTAAGAATATCCCTTCAAAAGGATTGGCTGTTAAAAAAAAAAAAAAAAAGGAAAGGAAGCATAAGATGAGAGAGAGGGATACACAAAAAATGGCCATTTGAACCCACACTGTATTTTATGTAGAGTGATCACTTCATAGTCTTTTGAGTCTCCAAGAGGATTGACTTATTTAGTGGGTTAATGTCTTTCTTTTCCTGCCTTAGAGAAAATGAAGTGGCAGAGGAAAATAGGTCACATTATTAAACTTAGTTCTGCGATTATTCATTTAAAATATACTGAATACATATGCATACATTCATCCAACAAATATTTATTGGATACCAAGTATGTGCTTGGCACTGTAGCAGGCCTTAGGGACACAGAAGAAAAAGTGTACAGCAGTGTCAACTGACATTTCTTAACCACTATATAAATAAACCCCACTCTACTAATAATGGGACATTTCAACATGTTATACCTGATAAGACATATGTAAAGAGGGCACATGATTTTGAGGTATATAGCTTTTTCTCTACAATTACCATGTGATATAAATTCCTAAACCCCTTCAAATAGCTTTATAAATGAAGAGCTTCCATTAATGAAAACCTCCCAAAATTACAGTTCAGTTTTAGGGAGACAAAGGAACTTCATGTATAAAAAACAAAACTTAAACTGGGTATGGTGCAGACACCTGTATTCCCAGCTACTCGGGAGGCTGAGGTGGGAAGATCACTTCTGCCCAGGAGGTCAAGTTCCAGCCTGGGCAACACAGCAAAACCTTGTCTCTAAAAAAAAATTTTAATAAAATAAATAGCCTACCCTATTACTATACACATCAAGCGTAAAACGGGCAACAAAACTCAAAAAGAACTTTAGACTGGAACTTGAAATTATTATTTATTCTAAGGCTTATAGTGGTATAGTTCCAGAATTGTGGGAGGTTTTTTTTTTTTTTTCTGAGAAAATCATTTTTAGAAATTATTCAGTATTACACACTGAAGTATTTAGGGTTAAAGGGGCATGATGCCTGTAACTGACTTTCAAATGATTGAGGAAAAATTGTGTGTGTGTGCATGTGTATGTGCATGTGAGTGTGTGTGCGCACGTGTGTGTACAAAGAAAGCATGAAAGATAAAGTACATATGAACAATTAGTGAATCTGGGTAAAAGAGCTCTTTGTACTATTTTTGAAACTTTTCTGTAAATTGGAAATTATATAAAAATAAAAAGTGTTCCCCAAATTTTATTTAGTATTAGGGAAAGTATTATGAGAATAAATATATAATCTATTCAACTTTTCACAATGTTTAGAAATCTCCTGTGCCTTTGAGTTGTTATTGTACATTTCTACACACAAAAATAACCCAATCAAAATAGCAATATCATTCTAAAAGTGATTTGTTTCATACCAATGTATTTTAGGATTGCCAGATAAAATACAAGACTCCTAGTTAAATTTGAATTTCAAACAAATAATTTTTTAGTATAAGTATTTTCCAAATATTCCATGTAACATATTAAAAAACTAATTGTTGTTTATCTGAAATTCAAATCTAACTAGACAATCTTTATTTTTATTTGCTAAATCCAGCAACCCTAAATGTATTGAAAAATTCTACATTGCTAATTACGGGTCATTCATGAGGCCTCCTTAGCATTTTCCTATTAAATGCTTGCCACATTTACCATAGTTTTATTTATATTACATCTTATTACACAAAATGCTAGTTTCAGACACTTAGAACATTCACTTTTATCATATATGAATTTGATAATCCTCCTTTTATTCAATATTAAACTTTAAAATTTGTACCACATTATTAAAGTATTACTTTTCCTCACAGTAGTATTATACATAGACTTAACACAATTTTTTAAAATGTGTTTACTTAAAACAATATAATTCTCCTTTACAAAAGCAACTTTATATAAAATGTTTGGCTTAAGACTGTCATTGCTATTATGCCTTTGAATGAAATTCCACTCTTTGGCCTCCACTGTCCAGAAACAGGCACATATCAGCTTGTTTTCTTTAATGAATACTTTGTAACAAGTTCCTGAAGTTTTCTAATTCTTTCACACTTGTAGAAATTCTGTAACCAAAAAATATTTCACTCAGAAACCATCTTAGATAAATTTTATCTGTAAAAGTTACTCACTTTGCATTTTAAAACAACATTTTTAAAGTAACTTATTTCAATAAATTTCAGGTGCATAAAACATTTAATATATTTTAATATATTTTAGTTCTTAATTTGACATGGTAAAACTAAGGTATTAATGTCCAGAAATTAGTTATTTTAAAAGTATTTAAATATGCATGCCAGATTCAGTGATTCACTCCTGTAAACCCAGTATTTTTTGAGGCCAAGATGGGAGAACTGCTTGAGGCCAGGAATTTGAGACCAGCCTGGGCAACACAGGGAGACCCGGTCTCTACAAAAACAATTTAAAAATCAGCCAGTCATGGCTGTGTGTACCTGTAGTCGTAGCTACTTGGAAACCTGAAGTAGAACTGCTTGAGCCCAGGAGTTCAAGGTTACAGTGAGCTATGATCATTCCACTGCACTCCAGCCTGGGCAACATAGCCAGATCCTATCTCTAAAAAACCAAATTCTTTTAAATAAATAAAATAGCCAGGTGCAGTAGCTCATGCCTGTAATCCCAGTGCTTTGGAAGGCCAAGGCGAGCGGACCACTTGAGTCCAGGAGTTTGAGACCAGCAAGGGCAATATGGCAAAACCCTCTCTCTACAAAAAATAAGAAAATTAGCCCAGCATGGTGGTGTGTGCCTGTATCCCAGCTACTCAGGTGACTAAGGTGGGAGCATCTATTGAGCCTGGGAGGCGGAGGTTTCAGTGAGCTGAGATCACATCAGTCAATCAATCAAATACCTAAGTATGAGATACATAAGTATTTAAATACTTCTGTATTTTAAGCATTCATAAGTATACTCCCTTTATATTAAAGCATATAGTATTTGGTATAAAATATGTATGTATACAAATATTATAATATTTAGGTATAAGTATTCATAAAAGTATTCATATGCTTAATATTAAAGAATATAAGTATAAAGTATATAAACACAGAACTATAACTGTTTTTAAATGCATAAGTATATGAATACTTAAAATACACCATATTTAGTAAATGTAGAAAGAATCAATGCTATTGGCCTATAAAGAGTAAGAATATTAAATGTATGACTACATTGTTTTCAGTAATTTTTGTAAAGTAAATTTTGTTCATTTTGAGTGCAGTTAGCTCTGCTCTCTATCATGAAAAAAATAGTAGAATAATTAATGAAATATTAACTATCAAACCCCTGGGTGCGAGAGACACAATTTTGAAGGTCAATTATTTCAAGCCCAAAATTATAATATTTTTTAAATGAGGAAATGTAGTCCTTTAAAAAATATTAATTTTTATAAATCTCAGCATTTCTTGCATGATAGGCCAGAAAGAATGCATCTGTAAATATTTTAATATAAGTTCCTTATTTCATGCTTTTCTTTAATCATTTTGATGGGAAATAATTGTTTTAAAAAGAATCATTAACCTTTTTATATAATGGTGAATTCACAAAGAGATTTACATGTACACCTATGTTAAACATGATTTTTCTAGCACCACAAAAAAAATTGGATAGCAAAAAAAAGTGCTTTTAAACAATTTTTAATATACAAATTCAATAAGATGAATATTCAAATTCAATCAGTAATTATAATTATGATTTTATATTTACATGTATGCACATTTTTTTCTTTCTTTTTTTTTTTTTTTTTGAGATAGTGTCTTGCTCTTCTGTTGCCCTGGCTGGAGTGCAGTGGTATGATCTTGGCTCACTGCAACCTGTGCCTCCCAGGTTCTAGCGATTCTTCTGCCTCAGCCTCCCGAGCAGCTGGGACCACAGGCATGCTCCACTACGCCTGGCTAATTTTTTGTATTTTTAGTAGAGTTGGCCAGGCTGGTCTCGAACTCCTGGCCTGAAGTGATCCACCCACCTCGGCTTCCCAAAGTGCTAGGATTACAGGCATGAGCCACCGTGCCGCGCCCTAATTATGATTACAAAAGTCAAGAGATGAAAATAAAGACCATCATGTACCAATTGTATATGTCTACATACTTGAGGTATTTCATAATATCCCATAATTCTGTAATGAAATAATTTCTTCAAAAAAAAAAATTCCTGGCTGGGCACAGTGGCTCACACCTGTAATCCAGCACTTTCAGAGGTGGAGCCAGGCAGATCACCGGAGGTCAGGAGTTCAAGACCAGCCTGGCCAACATGGTGAAACCCTGTTTCTACTAAAACTACACACACACACACACACACACACACACACACACACACAAATTAGTCAGGTGTGGTGTCATGCCCCTGTAGTCCCAGCTACTTGGGAGGCTGAGTTGGGAGAATCACTTGAACCCAGAAGGCAGAGGTTGCAGTGAGCCGAGATCACACTACTGCACTCCAGCCTGGGCTACAGACCAAGACTCCATCTCAAAACTAAATAAATAAATAAAATAAAAAGGATATTCCTTACCCAGTTTTTTCTGAGAGCATATATGTTGCTTTAGACTTACTTGGCTACCAGAAGCAATTTCAGTACATTCAAACTAACCTTCCAAATGCGTTGAATAATGATACTATTTCTTGTCTGGTTAGATGGAATTCATAACTAGGTCCACTTTCTGGCATATTTGCTATCAGTTTCTCAGAAAACAAGATCTTCAGAGCAGTGCCCAAACCCTGAGTCTATAACAGAAATAAGAAAAAAATAAAAATTAGAAAATTATTCATGCAAAGGGTAAATGAGAAATAGGAATGACTAGATTTGCTTACCTGAAGCTTTCCCCACAGACGACATTTAAAACAACCAACACAATCCATGATTCTTGAAATATTTCTAAAATGCAGTCGAAAGTCCTCCTGAAAACAATTTAACAAAATTTTATTAAGATGTACTATACAGTCAATTACTGAGTATTTTCAGAGCACGTTCTATGTGCCTAACACTGTGCAAGGTACTATGGGGTACCAAAAATGAGAAGAGCACTAATATTCATTGATTTTACATACCAGATCCTTACATATACAATCTCATTTAATCTTCACCATGAATCCAAAGGTAGATATTATTATAATCTACACCTAATGTAAAAAACAAGATTCAGAGTGTTTAGGTAACTTGCCTAAATTCCCACACTAGTAAACAAAAAAACTTAGAACCCAGGCCTGCCTGACTCCAAAGCTAAACTATCTGCAAAAATACACAAAATAACTTTGTCAAGGTGTCCATTGTAGATGATTAACTACATGTCAATAGGTGGAGAAAGGAGGGTGAGGCAGGGTTAGAGACCATC